TTTTATGCCAGAGGACAAAAGCAGCTGCTTTAGTTCACTTTCTGTTTAACAGTCAGTTTATTTTGAAAGGACAGGAAGTAGTGAGCTTTATTTTTTTCGCAGTAGAGCCTCTGTTTCCAGGTCGCCTCACCTGCAGTGAATTTGAAACGATGTCCACATCGGAGGTGAATTTAACTGGAGTGAAACAAAGTAAAGGCATGTGGCTGGTGAAGGTTTGTACAAATAATTAACAAACAAGTTAAAAAGACTGTTAGGTTCGTCATAAAGCAATGATCGATTTTTGTATAGTAATAAAATTTAACTTGATAAATCTTCTCTTTTTGCAGATTCCAAAGTATTTATCTCAGCAGTGGAATAAAGCCACAGAAAATGGAGAAGTTGGTAAGATTACCATCGAAAAGTAAGTATATATATTTTTTCCTCTACATTYAAAACAGTTTTAAACCTGCAGTGATTCAGTAACTTGAAAATGTTAAACTTTATGTCTATTTTTTAGGGTTTAAGCAAACAGGATAAAAGTAATTAAAAAATTTCAAAAGCATAAATGAAAACAACAAAATGAAGACATGTTGTTATAAACTGGTTTTCTTTGTTTCACACTTATTAAATTTTCCTTAAAATAATCACATTCCTTTGTTTCTGTAATTTAAAGCTTATAGCTGGCTTGATTACAGCATTAACAGATTAATTTAACTTCTTGTGGACTAAACCGTGAGAACTGATTTAGACAATGTCTTTGTTTTTTTAAAAAAAAAACTATAAATTATTTTTATTTCAGGCTGTAATATTTCTATTGGACACAAGTATTAGTGGTTATATAATTACAGTATTTTTATTTTAGAGCTTTAAAGTGAAACGTGAGTTGATAAAATGTAGTTATAGCAACACTACTGTATTTGTCTGCCATAGGAGGCACCTTTCATGACATTTTCCCCCCCAGATCTTACCCTGGCTATAGGAGAATAATTGTTGTTCTCCACATTAGTCAGACTAAAAGTAAATTGGTGCATGYAAAGTTGATTGATGCATGATTTTCTTAATTCTAACAGGAAACAGGGTAAAACAGAGGTGAGACGGTTTTATATTCTGCAGCTATCGCACACAGACTGACACATTCATTTATTAAACTTTTCCACATTTCCACCTCTCTTTAGTTTAACTCAGCCAAAGCTTATTTTTTTCATTTGTTTATTGATCTGATGGTTTCCACTCTCCTCTCTGTTGCATCTGTTTGCTCCTGCACTGACTCAGCTTCCTCACAGGAATCAATAAAAGCTTCACCAGATCATATTTGACCCGATTAGACAAACAGACAGCTAATAATGTGTTTTCGGATCGCACCAACATGCRTGTGTTCCTCCTCAGGTTTGTTTCAGTCTGAACGAGGAGCTGGCCGCCCTGGGTGGCGACGGGGAGAAGGACGCGAGATCGGTGCAGGTCCCAAARGAGTATCCCTTCAGCATGCACTCAGTGGGAGGACAGACCATGGCTGTCTTCAGCCAGAGCAGCRCAGGTCAGAGTCCGCTCTCGGGCTTTATCGTGCAGGATTATGTTCTCCACAGTGCTTGTTTTGCCTCTGTAGGAGGCTGAAGGGTGCAAACTGGAATCGATCGGCCAGCGTGGGTATGTGTGGGTGTGTGGGATCTGTGAAGATCCACAGGTTGGCATGGTTGTCACTCAATACTAAATGGACAAGTACAACGTGAACGGTACACAAACGTGGGGTGGAAAAAAGTTTTTCTCTCTGAATTCAATCGGAGTGTGATTAAAAATGGTTTGATTCTCACCAGGTTTTAAAATGTAAACAGTGTGTAAGCCAGGGCAACTTCAATGATTGAAGGGGCCACCATTTCTTGTTGACACTAAGAGGACCACATAGTGCTGCACACTCACCCAAATGTAATAAGACTGCCGTATATATAAATGTGCAACTTATTTCTTGCATGTAGTACAGTTGTACTCTTAGTTTTTTTATAAATATGAATACAAAACGGTTGAAGCTAACAAAAAATAAACTCTTACTATAGTGAGCTAAGTTTAATGGCATAAGATGCCTTGAGAGCAGACTCCTGCATGCTCTGGTAAAAATTCACAGTTTATGTACTTGCAACGTCTCATATTTAGCTTTGTGCAACATGTTGTATTGGCGACTTTTGTTAAAATCCTTAGTGGCAGACAGCGTCTCTAAGCAGACTAAAAATTTAGGTTTACCTTGAAATTCTGTGAACAGATAGTCTACTACCTCCTAAAAATTGTACTCAGTGAAGCTCTTAGAAACTGAGTGATTTTTTTTGAGTAAATAAAAAAATTAGTAAAATAAAAGAGACCTTTTTTTTCAGGGATGTGGGTGGCTCATTTGCTGTAGCCCACAGGTCGCCAGTTGACCGTCCTTAATAATCCTRTAAATGCCCCATGACTCCACAGAATATGGAATAATTTCTAACCAAAACAACTCAGTTGCTCATCTTTTGTAGAACTTTATCCGTTTCTCACATGGCTGTGGAGGAAATTTGACCCACACTTCTCAACACTGTTGTTTCAGATCATTGAGGTTTCTTTTCTGCACAGCTCTCTTAAAATACAACCATAGGATTTTAATCAGGTCTCATAACTCTGTGTTTCGTTTTTTGGCCATTTTGTTTTCGTAGATTTGCTCCTCAGTTAGGTCGCAGATGGCAGCGGCCTCACATTTGACTCTGGAATACCTTGGTCTACAGAGGAGTTCATGGTCGATTCAGTAAATATGTTGTGTGGCTGCAAAACAAGCCCAGCTCATCACTCTTCTACCACCGTGCTTGACTGTGGTTATGAAAAATTTGATTTTTTAAATAAACTTTGATGTCATCTGTCTAAAAGATATTGTTCTAAAAGTCTTCTGGTTCCTTCATTTTGGAAAGAAGAAGCTTTTGTTCAGTCTTTAATGAGTTTTAACCTTTAAACCTGCTAACTGTAGCTTGTGGAGCCTGAGATGGACTTCTTGGGGATTTTATTATATTTTCCATGCACTGGACAGTGTGATTTCAGGGTGAATTTGCTGGGATGTACTCCTAGGAAGGCTGGCAGCTGTTTTAAATGTTTTTCACTCTCAAATGAGGAACATACATATCATAAAAGGTATGAGATTTTACAAAAAGCAGTGGTTTAAATCTTAAGAGGAGCTCACTCAAGAAAAAAAGGTACATATTGCTCAGATACAGTTTGTTCTGCTGAAATAAAGCAGTACTTTTAAGTGCCTTAGCTCTGATGGAAACCTACTGATATATTCTTTACTGATTGCACTGTAAAATTCATGAGAATACTCAGACCAGCTCCTTATTTGCTGAGGACGTTTGCTGCCAGGCATAATGTGTCATGGCACTTTCTGAGCCAGAGGGATTAGCGTCAGATCAAGAGCTTAAAAATAACTGCGACGGTATTGTCGGGTGTCTGTTTCTGCGTGACCAGAGAATTACAAAAGATTAAGGTGCTGCTGTTAGTGGGGTAACCATCATAAATCAGGCTGTTTTATCAATTTTTTTAAACATGTAGCAATAAAAGTTAACTAAAGTGTGGGGTATTACTCAAATGTCAAACTTTAACTCAGACAGGAGAACRATCAAATCAACCAAATTTCAAGAGCAGGTCTTTTTCTGCCAGGAGTCTGCACTCTGTAAGAAAATGGCTGTTTCTCAAACCACTTTTACGATGCAAACGTGTGTTTGTGTGTGTGTGTGTGTGTGTGTGTGTGTGTGTGTGTGTGTGTGTGTGTGTGNGTGTGTGTGTGTGTGTGTGTGTGTGTGTGTGTGTGTGTGTGTAATTGGCTGGAGTTGGCTTTAAAACAAAAAGCATATTCTGGGTGTTCCCCAGGCGGGACCGAATTAGACTAAAGTCCGTATTTTGACTGCAGGCCACCGCTTGCTGCAGAAAAAGGAGGCATGAAAATGGAGCAGATTTCTAGAGCAGTTTAGGAAGAGAAGAAACTGTGAGTACAAGACGAGTGACGACACGGCAAACACGGCACGTTTTCTCCAAAGTCAAAGCGAGGCGTGGCGAGCGGATACTCCGAATTTCAACCACTGTGTATACATTACATTTAGGAAAAAAGTATCTACTACCTTGAATTAAATGAAAAAAAAAACACTTTAAAATAACTTACATGGGGAGAAATTATGCAGATATTTTCAAGCTTTTACAGTGTTCAGACTTAAATTTAAATCAAACTGTAAATCCTGGAATATTTTCCTTTTTATCTTGTTTAGTTTTGTAGTTAATTAGGGAGTGGACAATTTTTATTTTATTTTTTTCTAAAAGACCACACAGAACTGGGAATCCTGCCAGCAATGAATTTAGCATTTAGCCTTTAGACATTGGAACCGCACAAATATTTCCTAATTTTTCATTTTTTAAAAATTATTTTGTGGCTCAGTTGGAGACAGTTAAGGTGCTTAGGCGTACAACGCCACAGCAGCGTGAAGCAGCCATCACCTTGTTTGATTAGAGGTGTAGCATCTGAGGTGGATTAAACCATCGTTCAGCAGCTGAGCCAAAAGTGTAAACTAAATATAAAATGTAAACTAACTTAAAAAATACAGAATAGGTCTACAGAAACCCCAACCTGTATGAACTGAGATTATATAGCTGTAGTTTAAGAAAGTTGTTTTAACCCATTAACTGTCTTTGTTCTACCGGTGGGCAAAAACAGTGATGCTTCTTCCTTTCCAGTCGCTAATTTATTTTATTTTATTTTATTTTTATTTTTTGAAAACCAGGTGTCAGACAACTTCCTCCGGTTCTTACTTTTAACTTGACACCCTTTACAAAAAAAATCTAAAGGCTTTTAAAGAATTTCAGGGGAGACTTAATCCGTAAATGATACTTTGTTTTAATGGAAACATGGGCAGACTGGAAATTAAAAAAAAAAAAAAGCGAGCGTCCTCCTTCGTCTGTAAAGTATCCCAATCTCAGATATCATTTGTCTTGTGAATTCAGATGTGTTTTTTCGAAGCAGTGCATCAAAAAGTGCTCCGGGCACAATTGGCTGKGCTTCGTTGGACCAGTCCATCTGTTACAGGTAACTCTTACCTTCTCATMCACGTGAAAGTAGTGCAAACTATGTCTGGTGTTGCAGACAATCACCAGCAATACATCGTTTTACCGTGTTTTTACACAACTTACCGCTCGCTAGTTTGATTTCCCGTTTACTGCTCAGACAAAGACAGAGCAGGGAACTCCCCTTTGACGTCATTTTGGCCTCGCAACTTTATATTCTGAATTGTGCTTATTTAGTCCAAAAATAGTTTTTTAAACATTTTTTATCCTAATTAAATGTGGATTAGCTCCGAATTTCGTCAATATATTTTTTTCCCCAATGTCTGCATTTGTCACAGGCACTTTAAGAATGTGAGTCCTAACTTTTTCAAGACCTAAACTACATGGAAAAAAATAACTAAGTAAAAGTTAAAATACCTCACTGTTAAAAATGAATTTCACTGAAAAGAAAAGCACTGTTCACGATAATCGGCAAGGTAAACGTACGTTTACACACACTGGTTCCACTAAGCTGAGTTGAGTTAATGCAAAGCAATTCACACATTTTCTTTAAAAGAAACTGAAGTAAAAAGAAGTATTATTTTTATGTTTTAAATGTAACGAAATATAAGTAAAATTTGCGATTTAAAAAAATGTGGTAAAKTTACGTAAGTACTATACACCAGTGCTGAGAAGTTATTGTCAGGAAGTTCTTGGACAGTTTTCTGAGCAGAACAACTTGATTTTATTTTAACACACTTTGCTGTGAGTTGTGATAAATCTATTGAACATTGGATCCAATTAAATCGTTGAAGCATTTCAACTTATCAAACGACGTTCAGAAGCTTAGTTAAGACTCCTTTTTTGGGAATAATTTGAAATATAGCAAAGTACAAATGTTCTGCTCTGAACGTACGAGTAAAAAAATACTATTCATAGTGTGACACTGACTCTGTCAGCTGTAGGTGCAGAAATCTGCATTTGAGGCATGATTAATTTTTTCCTCTTCATCAAGGTTTATTCTATCACCGCCCTCGAACACTTTCCATTCACCCACACTCCCAAGTGCGTTAATACCTCCTACATGTGATAATGGATTTTTTTCCCTTCTGTTTTCTATTACTTCTGCCTTTTATTAGACACACTTGAGCATGTTCTGAGCTCAGAATTTAGCAGATGAATTAGGGTCTTTAAATTGTAAAAAAAAAAAAAAACTTTTTAGAGTGAAGTAAAACAGTGGGGGTGGGTAAACGTGTCACCGTGGATCGTTAGGTTATAATCTGGATGTGGAAACGGAGCGCTCAGGAGGCGTAAAACCTTTTAGTATTTTTTTTTTATTCTTGAAGGTGTCGCTGCTGCAGATGGCTGGCCTGACTGTGAGAGCGCAGAAACAAGAAGTGGGCTAAAGTCCTGGGAGACGCGTTGATGTGTAATCTGTATTTACCTGACCGACGCTCCGCTCCTCCCGCACTCGCCTACAGGAAGGTGTACTGTATGACACCGGGC